ATATATATATCTTCGCCAAAAATAATATACCAGTATACTTCAGGACTGACGTTGAATTTACCATTTGCGTTTAATACCTTACAGTATGTACAGAGAACACTATATCAACTATGTATGTACTTTTGTCCGACGTCAAATATCAAACTTGTATCCTTGAACAATTGTTTAATTTATAGCCATAATTCCCGATATGAAGCAGCCTTACACCGGGCTCTAACACTTGACACAAGGTTACAGTCTCCATATTCAGGGCACCAACACACGAGGCTCCTCCTGTCAACATGTTTTCTTTTCTCTAGGGTTATTTCCCTCAATATACGGCTATGATCAAATGCGACCTTAAACTCATATTAAGACTTTTATAGAAGTGTGACTTCATAATTTATGCCAATTATACTTCTATAATTATCCTTTAAAATCACTTCAATCCAAACACAAAAATTTAGCAGTACGATAGTCAGTGTCTGCCCCATAATTAATTTGTTTTTACTATCCAAATATTTCCATGATTTTAGACCATTTTTATTAAATTTACTGCAAATATACTCGTTGTATAATGTAATTAAGCTAGTTATGTATTTATTTATTTATCAATAAGTATCTCAAATAACTAAAAAGCTCATAATTTTACAATACAGTACAATACATGAGTAATTGATAAATTATTTCTTTATATAACTTCATTGTATGTATAACCAAACAATTTTACCTGCTTAAAGCAGTTAATGTCATCAAAATTTAACTTAATTTCTTAACCATTTTCACAACAAAACTCAGATACTTTCATCAAACTATAAAAATGTATGTATATCTTTTTCATACCTTGAAACAACCTTGAAACAGTGGTCTTATGACCATGATTTACAAGAACCTTTTTTATATGAGTACAAATAATAGTTACCCAAATTAATATAAGAAGCTATTCTTTAACTGTTTTGTTTCTAATTAGCGATTACGTAAACTTACAAGACTTCTTGTTTTATCGTGGAACTGCAAAATTGGCTTATCGAGCTAGCTGCGGATTAATTCCTAGGATTTGACACTTATTATCCTTCGGCATGTTTGTGGCTGGCTTCAGGATACTGGTCCATGCTCTATTTTGGGTGCTAAGACGCACTTGAATATTTTACTTGCTTTGAGTAATGTTTGGTTTGTTTATGAGGGTTTCAACTGACCCTAGACTGTTTTGAACCCGGTTTTAAGGAGCACTTCAGGTGGTTATAACTGTTATTTGAGGCCTCAGTAGAACTCCTGTGAGCTTTAGGAGCTTTTTTCACTGCGCCTGGAGTTCGTGTGTGTGGCAGCTGTAGAGTTGTGTACCATAGGAGGGTCTTCACCAGGTAGAATGGATCTAGGTGGATGGCCTACAGAGCTATGGAAGTTTTCAACTCGAGTGATATTAATTCATCGAATATGGAATTATATGTATAATGCTTTATTAGCTGATTTTGAGCTTTATTAACAATAGATGGTGTGTATAAACATTAGTATATAAAATATGTATATACATCACACAGTATGGTTCTGATGGGAAGTCCCCCTCAGTGCGACACTATTCTAGATTTCACCGTCCTTTAGATTTCTGGCCACTGGGATGAACCATCGCCCTGGGTTTCATGGGTTTACTAGTGTTGTTTTGCCTCCGTCCAGTTCGAACTTCGTCGAATTCGGAGAACTTTTACTTACTTCGCGTCTTTAGCGATCACTGCACTAACAACATAGTCCTCTGGCAGGGTCGTTGCTGCGTCTAGAGTGGTTTGGAGCTGCTCGGAGCGGTTTTTGGAGCGACGCGACAGCGGAAACTATGGAAACTATTGAATTCTGGTAGTCAACAGCATCGGCCTCTGGGGGTGTTATATGCTGTGGTTAAAACGGTTTTTGGCAGCTCGGAGTGGTTTTGGGTGCGACGACGAAAATTTTGGAAAGCATGGTAAAGTTCCAATTCTCGCATCGCACTCTCTGCTTCTCGGGGAAGTCGGTGTGGGTCCCTCGGAATGGCGTTGTCCGCTCTGGCCGCGACGGGCCTCGCGTGGAGCGGCTTTTGGTGTCTTCGCGGTCCCGATTGGAAAAATCTCTGAATTTTGCAAATCCGCTCAGGACATCGAATACGACAATTTCGATACAAGTTCCTTTTTCTTAATACCTATATAAGTAGCTACGTATTACCAACTTAACGACCTCAACCTCTTATTCTTTACAAAATAACACAATAATTTTCTCAACTATTTCAGAGCGACAAAATTTTGCGGCGACTTTGTCATAGATAGACATCTGAACATCCAATCGTACCACCTTATTGATTATATTACTACATTCTGCGCCAAAAGTTGTACTAGAATGCTATATTTCACACTTATTTCTGAGCCAAAGGACCCTGATATCCATTTTACAGTTTTATTTGGCGCCTACGACTACTCTATTAAAAAATTTCATGAGATTTGGGAAGCGTCGGCGGAGATTATTTTAGGTGATTTGACATGACCCTTTAGAATTAATTCTTCATTTCATTATTTTGGTCAATTATTATTTTTGAAGTTTATAAGTCGTTCCAGTAAATATCTGCTTGCCGCTAAACTAAAACTAAACTAAAAAAAGATTTACGTTGAGTAAAATATAATTTTTCTGATGCAGTCCATATTAACCGCGGTGGACCATTACCAGCATAATAGACAATTGCTATGCAGCTGTACCTGTCGTTTCCGCCTAACGATTATTATTATCAATTAGTGTTTGAACAATTAAATAATGACTTGAAGAATATTGGGGTATGGTAAAAAAAATTATCTAAATTTTTATGCTTTAAAAACAACTGCAATTCTGAATGCTTTTCTCATGCAATGTAAAAAATTGATAGTAGTGAAAGTAAGTTATTTATTATCATTCCCACTAGATAGAACGTTTTAATTTGAAAGATACTGCTAACAAATAAATATTAAAAAAAGTTAATGTTTTATTTTAATATAATACATTAGAATAATTTTAATTTTTTAAGTTTATGAAAGTTTATTTAAGAGTTAACTCTTCATTATTTTGTTCAATCATTATTCTTAAAATTTATAAATTCTTCCAGGTGACCTCTGCCGGCCGCTAAACTGTAAGAAAAAAGAAATTTGTTTATTAGAGGATACCTTCACAGCCGTTTGCGTTTCCAGAAAGGAACTGAAGAAAAATGGGTGAGTATTTTTAAATTTTATTACACAAAGCAAAACTGTAAAGTCCAAAGTTTTAAGGATTTTTTGCGATTTCAAGAAAATGTATAGAAAACAATTGATTGGTAGATCCCGAAGATATGAACCAAACTTGTATTTTAATGGAATGCATTTCTTATTTTTTGGATTTCTCTCTTTTAATAGTTTACATAATATGTTTTGTTTATTTTCTGACTCTGCACATAATCAAGATAGCCGTTGGAACCACATGTTCTCTGTTGTTAAAATTACTAAACAAATCTTTAAATTCTTTACTAAGAAAAAATGTCCTATTATTGTTACAAAAGACATATATTCAAGTCTTTTTTTGTAATGTTGCAGTACCCATTTCCATCAATATTTTCTCCTTTAAATCATATAAATTATTAGATATTCCTTTTTTACTTTATCTTTCATAATCCTCCATAGAAATAACTACACGGAGGTCAAATTGGGACCTGCGGATCATCATCAATAAGTGATAATCACTTAGTTTATATTACTTGGAGTTATTTAAGGAGGTTTATCGGGTACGGAGGTACGTCTAAAAGTCTAACGAGGGTTTCGGTACATTCGCTAATGACTAAAGTAGTAAGCCTTTAGATCTGGCAACGTTGCATTTGGCTGGCTTTATTTGGATGCCTAAGCTTGAAATATACACCATATGTCACACCTGCGAATTTCAAATAATACGCTACGGCGAGAACCGCGCGTTGCCGCTATCACGCATATGGACGTTAAGTTAATCAACAACAGCAGTTTGAAGGAGAATTATTATAAATTATGTATCTTACAAGTACCTAATCGATTTCTACGAGCTGTCATACGGTTCCTTAGATATCGGTTTCCTATTTATACAAGTTGCTGTAAAAACTGTTTGTCAATTGCTGCGCATTCTAAGTGGAAAGACCAAAAAAATCTGCATTCTCATAAGACTCTGTACTAAATCGTAAAAAATTATTTTATTGATATCTCGTCTCTTAGGTATCCAAACTAGTCATAATTTTTTTTCTTCATATTAATAAGCTTATATTAATTTTTTTATGAATATTTGTTCGTCAATTCCAAATCAGATACACCTCCTTAAATAAAGCGTGCCTCAGAAATAACTAAAAAATTTTTAACCAAATGTTCATATCAAAAAGCTACAGCTTTTATTAATTTTTTCTTTTTACGAAATCTCACATTTAGATAATTTGTACCCAGTATAATGACACCAACGAGCTGCTTATACACATGCGCGTTAGCTTGTACATGCACTTGTGCTAGATTTGTCTACGCATGCTTATTTTCGATTTTGACCCCAGTGTTCAAAGAAATAATCAAGGAAAATGAAATACTGTAGGCTCAGTCTTCTAATGTAACATATGTATGTCTTTTTAAACCGGTTTACTGTTCCAGGCATGTCGAATTTGCTCAGTTTGTAAAATTGGCGTTACCAGTTTTTTTTGGAAACGTCTTTCATGTTCAAGTTAAATTTATAACTGTTCTCCAACAAGAATTATTCAGGATTTTTTATTACGCATGCGCTTCTGTTAAACAACACGGTGTACGAGAGTAACGATTATGTTTAGATACATGATGTGCTATATGAATTTTGTTTAGAATTTCGAGAAGAATTGAAATATGGGTAATATGTTCTGTGGGTACACATGTTTGCAAGTGACCCATATTAGAAAGCACAACGTCAAGAGCGCCGCAGGACGCCACCGGACGAACCAGCGTTCCAAGAAGGGCTGCTGATGCCGGCCACCAGACGCGTACCCGATATACGACCGACTTCAACCACAAGGACTCTCCAGCTAACCCTCAAACCGTCAACACGTCTTTTTCCACAATATAGTTTTCAATAAAATTATTTATTATTACCGTTGAGAGAGCGTTTATTTCTTGCTGTACAGCGAAAGCAACCCTCAGTTCTATTAAGGAAAATGTAACTTTGTTTCGTCATGACTTTGACTGATTCTGTATACTTAATTTTTTTTATTGTAATATATTAAAAAAACCCTAAAACATATTAACAACCCTGTATAAATTGTTCCCATTTATGAGCTTCTGTTTGTTTATTATCAAGTATTTCGATATATGCTCTAGTGGTGGGTAATAGAAATTTAAAATTTAAAAAAGTTTTCGTTTCGTTTTCGAAAAAATATATAAAACAAAAGTTATTGTTTTTGACGTGTTAATTGCATGATTAAAAATTTGGGACACCCTTTTGGCTTGAACAACGCTCTTAATTTTAGTAAATACATTATTTAGGGCAACAAACATTTATAAAAAAACAGACAAGAAGCAGGGCAAAACAAACAAATATGCTTCTTACCCGTCACTTATACTGTCAAATATATGTATAGCCACATAATGACTTACGCACGTTAGTGTGAGAAGCATTATGCAAAATTATATTTTTGTTTTTCTCTTACAGAGACATAGTTGTCCCTAAACCTATCGCAAAAACGGAAGAACCAAAAGAGGAAGATGAAGAAGACGATGTATTTTATGATACCGAAGATGATCCAGAAGATGAAAACGTTGATGACTTAAACGACTCGGTGATGTAAGTAAAAATCAGTTGTCTAATATAAAATGGTTAGGTAGCAAGTGAACAAGTTAAAATATGTATAATTATGTATTTAGTAGAGTTTGCTCTATACTTCTTTCCTGCGCAACTCTGTATTCGAGATACAGGGTGTTAAAGTTTGCAAAAATATATATATTTTCTTCCATATCTTCATAATGTGCGGACGGAATTGAATGGAAGTTACTATAACGTATTCACTTAATTATTAATTGAATGTAATATTAACCTTGTGGCTTTAACCAGTGGCGTGCTACTGGAGGTGGCGTCCCAATTCCCCAAGAAAAAATACGCCATTAGCGGTTTTTTGTAGAAATAATGTTACATTCAGGTACTGTTAAGTTAAATGAATGAAAAATGTTTCTTGTTTTTTAATAGTAGCAACCGTTTAGAAGATATTTGGGCTTGTTTTTACGTTTTAATCAATTTTCCTAATAAATTAATGCGTTTACTTGATGGAAACCTCCTGGTTTTAACAAGTGACGTTCTACTAAAGCATCCGCCAATTTTTCCCAAGATAAGAATACTCCACAAACAATTTTTTGTAGAAATAATTTTATTTCTCGAAAAAATATTCAAACGTTTACGAATTAAAATACAAAATTGGTACATGCTAAATATAGATAGCATATAGACTTTCTTAAATTTAGTTTACTTTGCTGTATATTTCTATTTTAAAGCCATATATTCGGTATTTTTATTCAACGCACGGGAAGAATCGGAGATCGGGAAAACTTTTTTCATGCGCCAGCCCGAAAAACCCATCTGTATTATTAATACAGATGAAAATAAGGTGTTTTCAAAGAAGTATGTATAATAAAAATAATTCATATGCAGATACTACTATTTACCAGTCATAATCAGCAGGATCAGTAATTGACTAATTTTTNAAAAAAATATATATTTTCTTCCATATCTTCATAATGTGCCGACGGAATTGAATGGAAGTTACTACAACATATTCACTTAATTATTAATTGTATGTAATAATAACCTTGTGGCTTTAACCAGTGGCGTGCTACTAGAGGTGGCGTGCCAATTCCCCAAGAAAAAATACGCCATTAGCGGTTTTTTGTAGAAATAATGTTACATTCGGGTACTGTTAAGTTAAATGAATGAAATATGTTTCTTGTTTTTTAATAGTAGCAACCGTTTAGAAGATATTTGGGCTTGTTTTTACGTTTTAATCAATTTTCCTAATAAATTAATACGTTTATTTGATGGAAACCTCCTGGTTTTAACAAGTCTACTAAAGCATCCGCCAATTTTTCCCAAGAAAAGAATACTCCACAAGCTATTTTTTGTAGAAATAATTTTATTTCTGGAAAAAATATTCAAACGTTTACGAATTAAAATACAAAATTGGTACATGCTAAATACAGACAGCATATAGACTTTCTTAAATTTAGTTTACTTTGCTGTATATTTCTATTTTAAAGCCATATATTCGGTATTTTTATTCAACGCACGGAAAGAATCGGAGATCGGGAAAACTTTTTTCGTGCGCCAGCCCGAAAAACCCATATGTATTATTAATACAGATGAAAATAAGGTGTTTTCAAAGAAGTATGTATAATAAAAATAATTTATATGCAGATACTACTATTTACCAGTCATAATCAGCAGGATCAGTAATTGGCTAATTTTTCATTTTCACGTATGTCCACTTAATAAATTTAAAACTTTAAGTTTGTAATAAAATAAATTATAAATCGATACAATTTGAGAAATATAGATTTTAAATGTAACTTAGAAAAAAATTAGAGAATAGTTTTTCTTCTTAAAATATCCGAGGATTCTAAAAATAGTGGAATATAGCCATTAAGACATGGTCATGACATTTTTTTAAAAAGATAGTAAAATACGTCTAGTAAGTACGCCACAGGTGAATCTATCAACGTGAAAATTGACACGTTTGTAAAAAGCAATTCAACAAATATTTTTTCCACGTACAAATTTTTTTTTCCATTCACAAGGTAATCCGAAACAATTATTTTTTTGATAACTTCAACACTCCCTTTCGTAATAATGCAAATTTGAAATAATTTCCAATAATATTAATATTTCTGTTTTTTTTTAGATGTAAACCATGCCCTGTTGTCAAACCAATATTTCTCTGTGGTTCGGACAACAGAACCTACAGCTCCCTGTGTCGTTTAGACTACCACAACTGTATCCACCACACCTCTATCAAAGTAGGATGTAAGGGATTTTGCCCTTGCAAAGGTAAGTAATCTAATGTAGACAGAATTGATATTAGCATTTACATATATCAGAAGTACCATATTATTCATACCCAGTTAGTAGTTATTAAGTTAAAAATATACCACGTCTATAATAAGACCACAACTCCGCCATTTTGAAATGAAACTTCAATAATATAAATTTGCACACCAGTTTCAAACCTAGAATTCCTACCGGAAAACAACTTAAATTTCTTAAAAACTTCCAGTAACTACGAAAATCCATTATCGTTTAAATTTTAAATACACATAAAATTCGTTTGCCTTTCATAAGCAAAATTTATCAAAAGAGACTGAAGAATTAGGATTGTTTTTCTCGTTAAGAAGTGAAATGTTTTGGATTGCATCGGGATGATAAATAAAGGCTTGTTTAGAAATGAGTGTGAAGATTAAGCAAAAATTAAAAAAAACAAAATTTAAGTGCTACAAGAAGACCTACAAAAATGCTCAAGCACGACAAAGCCCAAAAAAGTGCTTATGCACGGCAAAGCCAAAAGAGATGGTAAAATGGACACGAGAGTATCCGTATTTGAGGTGCCAAAAAATCAGTGAGAAAAAGGCTCAGTTGATAACCTCAGTGCAAACAGTGACATCCAGAAAGTATACACCCAAATTACAGGCAAAACGAAACAGGGCGTGCCCTACCGTCGACAGATCCAGAATAAAAGTACTAAGCTGAGCTAGATAGAATTACAATGGAAAAGCGCATCTCTAATCAGCGTCCAGTCTCCAATGAGTTAGATGTCTTGTTGGAGGATTACCAACCCATTTCCTCGCGATCGAGACTAGGGCGACGAGAGAATGGCCAGTGGAGAGGATGCGATATGACGATATAGACCAGAGGTCCCCAAACTTTTTTGTGTCATAGACCACGTGCCAATTTTTTCTATTTTGGATAGACACCCACCTTTATAATGTTGAATTATACAAATTCATCAACTTCAAATGTGTTTTTGGCAGATGACACAGTGAAAGTTTTTACAAGTGACAAGTGTTGCAACCACAAAGCAAATAGCCTACTGCACAATTTTTTGAAATATACCTAATATATAATTAAGTGTAGTAAATAAAATAGTTGTTTACAATGAAATTTATAATAATTCTTAAACAGTTTGATATACATATAAGAATATAAGTAATAGCTTAAATTTCAATAACAAAAGTATACTTAACACTAATTTTATAAGTAAAACGAAATAGGTTGATTGAACTCAAGAGAATATTCTAACAATTAGCATTAATTAAAATTCAAAGCAATTAAATTATTGGCTTGACCTGTCGAATGATCGATTTTCCCATAATTAAAACATGGAGTCATAAAGTTCCCCAAATGTAGTTTCAAATCTTCATCATGTTTCATAAACATTTATGTTTTAAAAATTTTTAATTCATATGTAAGTTATATGTCTATTATAAGAAAGTATTATACAGCATGTTTTACATAAAAACCGACACAGAGCAGGGGCATGTAGGGCAATCCAAAATATGGTGATTTAAAGCAAATTACCTTTATATTAAGCTGCACCCCTGAGAAGTTATAGGATTTGAAATTGTAGAACACTAATTTAAAGATATATTTAAAACATTTAATGATGGAAAGACATAAATATGCACTGGTTCCATGGCAATCCTGAATATTCATCGTGGATGGTCAGTAAATAAACCAAAATAATGTTTTTTTATATATTTCTCTGAGACCGTAAGAATATTTCTTAAAACTTCTTTAGGCGTTACCATTTTTTTCTTGACGTTGAAAAAGATAAATTGGTAAAATGCTATGGAAATATATCTCATCATAAAGGCTTATTGCATACTTTCACTGCATTTGTGCATTCATGAATCTATTGGGTTGGAAAATAAGTACCTAATCCGTATTTTTTTTCAAATTTAAGATATTTTATTTTTAACTCTACAATTATCAATAGGCTAATCAGTGATGTATTCTCTATTTTTATTTATGACTTTCTCCCAATGTTCAACAATTTCTTGCCTTCTGCTTTTTCCGCAGAACTCCTCCGGTTTTGACTCGAAAAACTCATCCAACCAAGCTCTTAACTTATTGTTGTTGTTAAAAGAAACACCGCGTAAGGAGTTTGACAAAGAGCCGAAGGGGTGAAAATCAGAAAGGGGGTGGGGCAGAACTTCCCAATTCAACTCCTGAGTAGCCGTTTTGGTCAAATTGACAATATGTGGTCGCGCATTGCCAAGTTGTAAAAGAACGTCGTATCACCGACCAGGTCTTTTTTGTTGAATAGCTGCGTGGAGTCGTTGTAATTGTTGGAAATATAAATCTACGTTGACGGTTTGATTGTTAAGAGTTCGTAATAAAGAATTCCTTTCCAATACCTCCAGACGCATAACAGTGTCTTTCGAAGCTGAAGTTCTGGTCTTGTTCGGGAAGTTACTTGTTTTTTGGGGCTTAACCATTCTCTCCGTTTCCTATTTTATGTTCACATACAGACACCATTTTTCATCGCCAGTAGCAGTACAATGAAGAAAACGTTCATCATGACCACATGTTGATCGATGACGACAGAGCTAACCAACAGCAATTGCGGAGCGTTGATTCTTATTGTTTTCGTTCAAAATATGTGGGACTCCAAGCGCCGTCTTTGAGCTCCTTCCACTGAATGCAGGTTTACTACTGTTTTGTAATCACATCCTACCACATGTTGTTCATTGTCTTGGATTTTGGAGTCGATTCAATTGTTCTGCATCAAATTCAACAGGGCGTCCAGAACAATTCATATCTTTAAAATTCAAATCACCTTTAAAACGCGGAAACCATCGACGAGCCGTTCGTTAATTCGTCGCATCATCACCATATATTTCCCAAGCAACTTAAGCGGCATTAGCATTTTCCCCGTCTCGAAATCAAAAAGAAGCAAGTGTCGAAAATGATCAGTTTTTATCAACTTGACATTCCATTTCAAATGAATGAAGTCGGTCGATAGCCGCACGGTTTAAGGCGTCAGTCCTTTAATCGTGTGCAAATTTCTGCCCGGGTTCGATTCCCGCGGCCGGTAGACCGTAGATTAGCTATGCTTGTACGGAGGATTGGCACTCTCTGTGCAGGTATGGTGGGGTGGAAGAATGTTGGCTTGGGTCAATGTGAGAGATTGACACCGGTTGGCATTTGACCACCCCCCTAATTAATGAGGTTTTCCAGGTTTCCCTCATTCATGCACTGAATGGTGGTTAGGGCCTACCAACATAAGTCGTTTCTGGGCGCAAATTCGGCCTGCATAATAATAATATGCCGCCTTATGGGCTAATTATCGTAATTAGAATAGGGAGTAGAGATATTATTTTATTGTGATTTATTTCTTTCTTATTTAGATATTTGAATGGGATAACATTGTATTCATATGTAAAAAATTTCGGAATGAATGGTATTCGATTTGAAAAGATGTGAAAACATTGAATTTTTTTACAGAACATAGTTTGACCCAAAATCAATTTCATTTGACTAAGTGTTGTTTACCAATTGTTTCAGAGCAGCAATTGTTTTTCAGAACTCGCTTTTGATCTCCAAAATGTTGCTAGTGTAATCATTATCTTTCTCTCTTGCTCTCTCTTTCTCTCTCTCCTTCCCCTCCCCCCTCTCTCTTCCTCCGTATATTGATATAAAGTCTGTTTAGAAATGAAAGAGAGTAATAAAAGCTTATTATGTATGCAAATCGTAAATAAATGTAGTACTGGTGCTTATATTCAATATTTTTATATTATGTATTATCGGTATAGATGAGGTGTACTTTTAAAAAACCTTGTGTGACCGGGTTGTACTAAATTGTAGCAGGTAGCTAAAATTTAATCCCCGACAATCCGTCTTTCTCTATGCCGCTTCAATTTCTCGGTCTATTTCTCTTATAAGTAAACAATATAACAACAGCATTTCAAAACATGAGGTTACTTTAAGCATCATAACCGGGTTAAGAGGGTTTTTAATAATTCAAATAAAATTATTCAATATTATTATCAAAATATTTATTTAAATTTAATGAATAGACTTTTATTCCACACAAAAATATATGTATTTTGAAAATTCAAATTATGGTGAGTAAATGTAGTGTTGTAGAAATGTACAATAAAGAAAATAAAAAAGTAGGTATATTAAAATTGATCCTCTGAATATTCTGATGAATTATCTTCGTCTCCTAGATTGATAACGATAGATTCCACAGTAACGTCAATTAAATTATCGAGTTCCCACTTTTCCACGATGTCGTCAACACTGTTGGTAGGATTTTGGTGTTTCAATGCATTAAATACATTTAATATAATAATCTTCTCATTCTGAGACAGCGCACATCTTTTCACGCGTTTAGCAGGTACGTAATATGATAAGCTCGACATTTTACCCAAACAATATTGTATCCACTGACACAATAGTCACTAAACACAAGTCGAATTTTACTCTACTGCACTAGCACGTCTTCGTATATTCAGCTCTAAGACTGGATTGATCTGTCACAATACACTGGCTCCTGCCCTATGATGTATCCAGTAAAATATACTAATGTACACCCATTACCTGTTAGCATTAGTGTTACCCGATAATTACCTGAAGCGAAATATTACCACGCCCATGGCCGGTTCTTATCTCGGGGTTTTATTACTCTCTTTCATTTCCAAACAGACTATAGAACATTTTAGTGTAACTATAGCTAAAGCCCTTAGTGAATCCATGATCTAAATATGATGCTCTATTATTTCGTAGTAGGTTTTATATTTTACAAAATTAAAATGAACTTATTATTTCAGAAAACGATGCACACCTACGTAAAAAACAGCGTCAGTCAGAGAGATTAAATGCATTTATGAATAAATACAAGGCTACCTTAGACAAGTCAGGAGCAAGTGGATCATTAAATGACGGAAAACCTGCACCACCGTCCTTAAAATCAGATGTATACACATTCACTCCACAAGATTTTAAATATGAGAACAAACACTACAAATACATCAAATATACAAAATACAAGGTGAGTAAATAAATTACATTAACTTTTTGGTTTAATAAGCAAGTACTGGAGTGGGTAAGTTTGGAGAGTTCGTGTATTTACGATGATCATCCCAAATCTAGTACCTACCTTAAAACAGTGCATGAAACCTTCAACACAACGCGAAACTAAACTACGGGACACGAAGCGACCTGATATACATACTTTATTCAATAGAAATGCATATTTGTGTGGAGTTGTTGACCGAGCGTTTTTTGTTAACTCTGGCAGCGAACGGTCTAGCAACTATAGTATCTAGATTAATCTCGTGCTTCCAGACCCTATAATTTGTTTCCAAGGGTAAAGTGGCGGAGTTCCAAACATCGAAGGGCTCCGCCCATTTTTCTTTGATATCCCATACTATATCAAAGTTAATTCTTTAAAATTACCCTTAACTGCGTGTTTTATTTACTTTTTACAGATGGATTTTTTCCAAAACCACATTTAATATGAACAGCTCCATGTTCACGATGAACCGCGTTTTTGTTTTAAATGTACCTATTGCACACTAGTTTTCTCAAATTTGCGCATCCATAATATGTCTGTAAATATTTAAAAATTACTTAATATATTCCACATTTAATGTCAAGTGATTTTTCAGTTGCATTTCTTCATTGGTAAGGGGTTTGAAAGCAGTGACCAGTTAAAATTGATTATTCTATGAACCCAGGGTATACAAGATCCTATCTAGAATTATTTAATTTTTGGTATAGTTTTTAGTTTTTTCTCTGTTTATTTAGATACGAGTATTTTACTACCTGTGAAAAAAAATTTTAAATTTGAATAAACCCTTACTCGAAAATGTTATAGTGTGTTAGTTTAATATAAACTCTTACATCGATTTGGCGCTAAAATTTGATTACTTTTTTATATTTTTTTTGTAGGTAACAAAATATGCATATAAATAGACACGGTAGTGCATGAAATTTTATGGGCTTAAAATTAAGTTAAAAATACACAGAATAAAAACCTAAATTTGTATATTTGTCCAGCGTCATATTGTTTATAACAAAAGAAAAAAATTATTGCTCTTTTTTCAGTTTTTCGCTTATATCCGAAAATAAGCCTCTAATCGATATGAGGTATACTTATCAATTTGCTAGGATTGTGAAAGCTCGCAATTTTTTTTTACATTGCAAAATTAGCGATGAAGAAAAAAATGTACAAAATTTTCAGCTTTAAATAAAAAGAACAAATTTTACTGAAAATGGATGAAACTACAGGAAAAGATAACTGTTGGGGTGCTCAACAAATACCCGCAATCCGGATACCCAATTTCAAAATGGCGGTCTATTTCAAAATTATAAAGTCTAACATGCGAGCGCATATATCTTCTGTCCAAGTAAAGATTTCGAAATTCGCTAAAAAAAATAATCGAAAGGTAATTGCACTGTCTCACGTTTACGTAAGTTTCAGATTTTTAAATTGCAAAATAAAGAAGTTATTAACAAAAAATCAAAAAAAAAACGGTAACTCGACAGTTTTTTAATATACAAATTTCAAACCAATTACATCAAATAGTGCTTAAAAAACATGAATTTAAAAAAAAAAACGATATTTTTTTCTTAAGAACGGTATTCTGGCTGTTCCATTTAATATGTTGTAATAAACTTGGGCTCGTTGTTGATTTAAAAAAAAATCCCGGTAGCTTCTTTCTAAGTGCCACAATCCATTTGTTAAGTAAGAATTTTGAGAAGCGGGCGCAGCATATTCACTATGACATCAGAGCGCTCCCCTCTCTTGGCTACCGCTCAGCCGCGAGGGCCGCCGCGCGGATCACTCTGTCTTTAACGCACGTTTACTTGGTCATTTCTTGGTCGAATCCATTCAAAAAAACTTCAGCGTATAAAGAAAGTCTTCTACTTCTACAACGAACCCAAGCTTATTACAAAATATTAAATAGAACAGCTAGAATACCGATTTTAAGGAAAAAAATTATCTCGACTCCTAGTGGTCTATTGATCGGATCGAGACGTTTTTTTTTAAATTCATGTTTTTTAAGCACTATTTGATGTAGTTGGTTTGAAATCTGTATATTAAAAAACCGCAGAGATAAAGACCCTAGTTACCGTTTTTTTTTTGTTTTTTTGTTAATCACTTTTTTATTTCGCAAATTAAAAATCTCAAATTTACGCAAACGCGAGACAATGTAACCACCATTCGAACCCTTTTTTCCGAATTTCGATATCTTGACTTGGGCAGAAGATATACGCGCTCGCATTTTGGACTTTATAATTTTGCAGTAGGCCGCCATTTTAAATTGGGGGTCCGGATTGTGGGTATTTGTTGAGCACCCAACAGTTATCTTTCCCTGTAGTTTCATTCAATTTCAGTCAAATTCGTTCTTTTTATTTAATGCTGAAAATTTTGCATATTTTTTTCTTCGCCGCTAATTTTGCAATGTAAAAAAATTTTTTTCTTTTGTTATAAACAATATGACGCTCGACCTCGACAAATACACAAATTTAGGGTTTTATTCTGTGTATTTTTTACTTAATTTTAAGCCCATAAAATTCGAGTTAGGCCCGATTTTTGAAACAGACATGTGTGGTATAATTCGCTCGGATTAATAAGGATCTTTCATCTTTAATAAAAAAAATATGTATGTTTTTCCAGGACAATAACAATATTTTGTATGCTGACGATAAAGAAAGGCTGCGAGGTTATAATGAAGTTATAGATAACAAAATCTACAGTAATTCAGTTGGACCACTTGATTCAGTAATGTCTCCAACCAAACAATGTCCACCATCGGCATTACAAGCGATGGGAAACAGATTGTTAGATTGGTTTTCTGTAGTAATGGCAGATTCTTCAAAAAGGAGAAGGCCAAGGAATAAATCAAAAGGTATGTATCAAAAAGGTATGTACCGGAAGGTACCAATTAATAGAACTTACGAACACAGGATATTCCAAATTTGAGTTGCATGTGTCTATTAGTAGAAGATTAGTATAAATAGAGATGATTAATTGAAAAAAGGTTTGCACAATTTTGTGTGAAATCAATTCCAAATTTGATATAACACTTGTAACTTTTGAGAAAATTTGAAAAACTAAAAAAAATTATATACATTTGAGTTTTTGAAAATTGTATTACTTAATACAAAGTGTGGGAGTAAAAAATACCAATTATTTGGTGTATACAGGGTTGCTGATATGTACGGAATCGGCCGATTATCTCATAAAGTAAGATAGCTATCGAAAATCATAAGACACAAACGTTTTAGGGTTTTTAAAAATCTACTCGTATTACAATAAAGAAAAATTAAGTATACATTATCAGTCAAAAACTCATGACGAAACAAAGTTGCTTTTTCGTTAATGGAATACCCTCTATATTATTCCATATTTCAATTCTTCTCGAAATTCTAAACAAAATACATATAGCACATCATGTACCTAAACTTAATCGTTTTCGAGATATCGAACTTTAAATATCATTTTCTTATAAATTATACAAAAATATTTTAGTCCATCAAGTTACCTTTATAAGTTTCTAGCTTCATAACAACGCCGCGTCGTTCGTTTGTCTAATAGTGATTATCTTGACAACATACGTCAAAAATACATTGTGTGAATAATTTTTTCGTAAAAATAGTATGTTTAAGAAAAACATACTTAAGCATACATATACTTAAACATACATATTTAAGTTTTAATAGCCATAGGATATGGTGATAGAAGACGAAGTTGTGACAACCCACCAAACATTTTTCAGTTTCTGACATGTTCCAGAAATGTTTCCATTTTTCTTGAAACGTTTCATAAAAAATCCATGCAACGTTCTGGTAACCCAAAAGAAACCGAAGATGTCCTCCGCAAAATACGTTTCCAATGAAACGTTTCAAAAAATTGGTGTCAGTAACATTCTTTTGATGTTTCATTTATGCACTCGATATTTTTGTTTTACGTTTCAGTATATTTTCAGAAATATTTGAGTAACATAATAATTTTTATACCATATTGTTCTCATAATGCTCTCAACTTTAGATAATTTCCATTTCAGAATCGTTCTTGAAACAGTATAAACAGTGTGAGTAATTTTTTAAATATTTCTAATACTCTTTTGTAATATTTATATATCACATTGTGAATGACTTAATTCGTAATCCAGACAATTTTTTCTGATTTCTAAAAAAATTTAACTGAAAAATGTTATTGTATATTAAAAAAAAAAAACTGCTCTTCTAGTTTGGGGATGCAGCAACTTTTATCAAGAATTTTTTTCTTTTTGAGAAGCCACTGAAAAAGTTTCTAATATGGATTACGGATTCTGCCATTCATCGTACAAATAAAAATGTCACAAAACAATATCAGAAGCATTTTAAAAAAGCTACACATCATTTTATATTGTTCAAATACGCTTCTGAAATGGAAATTTTCTAATGTTGAGACCATCATGAATATGGTAACAATGACGAAATGATAATTAAAAAAATTAGTTATGATAATGAATCTTGAAATGGTAGGTACATGAAAAACAAATAACATTACTGAAAAATAATATAAAGAAGTTACAATTTCTTCTACGCATAGTCAATATTACATCTAACCTTTTTATAATAAATTTTACAGTAGAAATAAATAAGATACAAAAGGATATCTTGAAAAAATAAATATTTGTAGGTATACTTAAACTCTTTTATTTAAGCATTCCTATACACGTACACAAATATAAACATTTGTACAAAATATAAAATAAATGACATATATTTCACTTGATTCTTCCGTATTTCAAATAGTTCTCCGAAACGTATAGTTCCATGTTCCATTTTTTTTAGTTTTTGTCCTCTTGTCTTTAATAGGTATTAGGTAGTGGGTATAATAACTATGTTTAGGTAGATGTGACGCAAAATTCGAAATCTCTACACATATCGTTTTAAACATTTTGCATCAATATTCATTATTTTATATGCACCTTACAATAACCACAACTGCACACACTATAAATTATCACATAAAATAGCATCAAAGTAACGATCATGGAGACTATTCTCCCTGGTAACGATGAAGAACAACGAAGCCAGGCAAACGGGTAAAGGCAAACCGCAAACCTAACCTAACACCTAACATAATACGAATTGAAAACGGCACACGAGAAATAAATAAATTCGGGCTGTTACGCGCGGTCTGCGCAAGTCACGAACATACATTTTTTCTAGACTTGTGTTATAAATATGCTACCACAATTTTTTTTCTGTTTATGTCTGGTTGTACATATAACAAAGGCAAATGAACTAACGCTTGCTATAATGATGGGGCTTGAGAGCAAAATTTAAGTAATGCCGAATGGAAGTTCCATAAGATAAACAAAAGCAAAGGGTTGTTTGTTTGTCGTTGTTACGTTTCCGAGATCGAAAGGGAATGTTTCGAGTAATGTTTCAAACTCTCTTCAATTGGAATGTTTCGGCTATGTTTCACTAAGTAAGTTTTCAAGTGCTACATTTCTGTAATGAAACAGCAACGTTTCTAGTTATTGTTTCAAATGTGTAGTAAAACAGCTCATTTGCAACGTTTCATTTACGTTTCGTGTTTAGTGGGAAAGTAGTGGAACGTATTTCTAAATCAACCATTTTAAAAACGTTGCAGCGTTTTTATAAAACTGGGGGTGTTACAGATCGACGAAACAGTAGAATACCATTAAGCGTTACAAATGAAGAAAATTCTTTGAATGTCATGTTAGATGTGGTGGAAAATCTAATAAATTCGACACAACAGAGGGGCTTAAATCGTAACATGACTCTATATTACATTAAAAAAATTTGCAAATGAGAAAAGTTACGTCCATATAAAATTTATTTGTTACAAGAATTGACTGAAGGCGACTATGATCGTTGAATCGAGTTCTGCGGAGTTATGGATAAATTAAACGAAAATGTCAACTTTGTCACCCACATATTGTTTTCTGACGAATTTACATTTAGTTTAAACGGATACGTAAACCGACACAACTATACTGGTTAGACCAAAATCCACATTGGGTGGAAGAAGTTCACACCCAACGAACACAGAGAGTAAATTATTGGTAGACTCGTGATAGGACCCTATTTTATAAACGGAAATTTGACTTCTGAACGATATTTGTTACTTTTGCTAGAACATATTATTCCAGAGCTTAGACAATTATTCCCGAACAATAACAATCCTAATTTACTGGCAGAACAAATATGGTTTCAAAATGATATGGGGCTCCTCCACATCTTGGACGTGTGCTACGGGCATATCTAGAAACTTTTCGTGATAAGTGGATTAGATGCAGAGGGGCAATGAATGGCCAGCCAGGTCTCCCGATATACCCCCGCTTGAGTTTTTTTTTCTATGGGGTCACATAAAAAATGTACTTAAGTAGTCTACAAAAATAGGCCACAAAATATCGAAGAGTTACAAGAAAAGTTAAGGCATGAAATTTCCACTATTCCTCCCGACACCCTTTTAGATTCACTACAAAATTTTGTGCAGCGAATTGATTACTGTCAAGAGATAAATGGTGAAGACTTTGAGCACCTTATAAAATAGAATTACAGAAAACATATTTGTTGTTTATTAAAACTTGTTTTCTTTCTTTTTTTGTTCTGGCATAACTATTGTTTTCATAAAATTTAAAATTAGACCAGGGTCGATAATTTTTGAAACCAAAAAAAATTATAGTAGGATGAAACCCATTGGAAAAGAAAGGGAATATAACAGAAATGAAAGGAAATATAGTTTACGGGCGATCTGAGGTCGGGAAGGGGTAGGGGGTGAGTTTTTAAGGGTAAAAACGGTTTCCCTTGATTTCCAGAAAAACTACAAGTCTTATGGAAAAAAGTTTAATGGCAAAGTTGTAGGTAATAAAAAGATCTACAACTTTTGTATTTACACTTTTTTCACATAACCTCAAAATTTATGTGAAAAATTCAAATAACCAAGTTTTTGGTTTTTTATTTTTATCTTTTACAAACAAATTTTTTTTTCACGAAATTTGGTGAAAACTTACCTATTTATGTCCCAAACACGCTGTAATTTTTTTGATTTGAAATATTTATTTTTTCACCTTATTTTTACTTAATATCGAAAAAGCACCCTAATTTTCAATCGAAAATTCTCACGTCAAAATATCTGCTTTTTTAAAAACGTCGGTGGGCTTTTTCTTCGTTGAAATCTCTACTTTCTGATGGTGTAAAAAAAAATATACATTACTATGGTAAGTTTTCTCAGGAAATGCAAAGAAACGAAAGAAGATTCTACAACTTTCTCAAAATATTGTAGATGTCTTATTAAATATTAACTTTATTAACTTATTTGGTTGTTAATTATAATAGTATATTTCGACTTGTAATTTTTTTGTTTATCAATGTAACATGGAATCTTACGTTTTTCGAGTAATTAAAGTGTAAATTTTAATAAATAGCTCAAAATTGTACATAATGATTAGAAAAAAATTTTCGGATTCTAGTTCGTTTCTTTGCATTTCCTGAGAAAACTTACCATAGTAATGTATATATTTTTTTACACCATCAGAAAGTAGAGATTTCAACGAAGAAAAAGCCCACCGACGTTTTTAAAAAAGCAGATATTTTGACGTGAGAATTTTCGATTGAAAATTAGGGTGCTTTTTCGATATTAAGTAAAAATAAGGTGAAAAAATAAATATTTCAAATCAAAAAAATTACAGCGTGTTTGGGACATAAATAGGTAAGTTTTCACCAAATTTCGTGAAAAAAAAATTTGTTTGTAAAAGATAAAAATAAAAAACCAAAAACTTGGTTATTTGAATTTTTCACATAAATTTTGAGGTTATGTGAAAAAAGTGTAAATACAAAAGTTGTAGATCTTTTTATTACCTACAACTTTGCCATTTAACTTTTTTCCATAAGACTTGTAGTTTTTCCGGAAATCAAGATAAACCGTTTTTTATCCTTAAAAACTCACCCCCTTCCCCTTCCCGACCTCAGATCGCCCGTAAATTATTTTTCTTTTCATTTGTTATATTCTCTTCCTTTTCCAATGGGTTTCATCCTACTATAATTTTTTTTCACTTTTTACCATTTTTGAAGGCTTAAGCACTGGTCTAAATATCCAGGACATTCATTAAAAATACATTTTTTCGTTTTACTTATACATTTTTATCAATCCTGAACTATTATTATTATTTTTATTTTGTGTAAAAAAACTAATAAAATTAAATCATATCTATATCCTCCATATTCTGTTATTTTCAAAATAAATATCCATAATTTGGGTCCCTTTTTCTTTTATAAATTGGAGTAGTAAAAAGTTACTTTCAAAGTTCGATATCTCGAAAACGGTTAAGTTTATTTAGGTACATGATGTACTAAACGAATTTTGTTTAGAATTTCGAGAAGAATTGAAATATGGAATAATGTACAGGGTGTTCCATTAAAGAAAAAGCAACTCTGTTTCATCATGACTTTTTGACTAATCCTGTATACTTAATTTTTGTTTATTGTAATATATTTAAAAAGACCCTAAAACATTTGTGTCTTATGATTTTTCAATAGCAACCTTATTTTAGGAGATAATCAACCGTTTCGATATACATATATCAGCGACCCTGACAGTTGCTACATGAGAAAAGAGCACAGGTGAACATAGATCATAAATTGCTTCCCTGACCGAATTACAGGGTGTCAAAAAAAATCACATGCATAGAAATTCTGTTTATAAAAAGATACACTTGAGTACCTGTCTGCCACGCCACTGGCAGTTGTAATGAATCGTTTGTAGGTTCTTTTTAAAGGACATTACGTCACCAAAAAATTTAGCCAATTTGGTTTCATTATTACTTACCGTTTTTTAGAAGTCGTGAAAAAAACAACAAAAAAATAATTCAACTCCTGTATGTCGGTTAGGAAATGATTGACGACCTATGTTCAGCTGAACATTTTTGTTCCAAATTAAGCCCTCTATCAACTGTTAAAGTTAACACTCTTAAAAAAGGTATGTCAGTTGATGGATATCAATAAAACCGGAACAAACTCCTGCATCCACAATCTCACTGCAACTGCAATGTGGAGAGATTTAACCGGACTTTAGAGAATCATCTGCGAATAGTCGTCAATAAACATCAAACCGACTGAAACTGACATATACCTCTTTTCTTATTGGCCTATCGATCAGCATCCATGAGAGTACCGGAACAACACCAGCCAGCATAGTCTGTGTTAGATAACTGAGGCTTTCCTTCGACATCGTTTTTCGCCACCCAGAAGATCGAGTTGACACACCGGAAGACTACCTACCCGAGTTAACCAACAGAAGCGATGTCACCCATGATAAAGTGCGACAGAAAATGATGTTTCAAAACGATCGGTTGAAAACACTGTACTACAAGTGTGTTCCAGGCAAGAGAACTAGCTTGGCGCTTGGCTGAACAACTCAGTAGGAAAGAATGGAAAATCTCCTAAGCTTCATAACTCCTGAGAAAGTAATTAAGAGGATTAACGACATGGTCTACAGAATCCAGAGAGGGTCCAGAGTGAAAATGAAAGTCATTCACCTGAATCTTTTGGTTTCAATACTAAGCACCCCTAACTCTAACTCTTTATTGGGGATAATCATCTTCAAGAAGGGGGTACTGTAACAAAAGTCGCCGTAGTGTGTTTTGTTTATACATTTGTTTACTTATTTATTTCATAATGTTTCTAGAATATATTCTATTTCTTTCTCTGATGTTAGAGATTAGAAGCTTAGAAATTGTTCTATACTGTTCTTAGTAACCTATGGAAACTTCTATTGCGAAACGTCAAAGTTGTCAAAGTTTGTAAACTGTTGTGTTTTAATTGAACTAATCTAAGAAGAAGTTTATTGCTGCCTTTTTTTATATAAGAATTCAGAGAAAGTTGCATACACATATTGAGGAGTAAATTTTATGTACAAATGACTATTGGACGTTATTGTTTGTACTAAGGAACTTACCTTTAAATAGTTAATGAACGATGTTCTTGAAGACTCTAAGATCGTAGTAAATATAGCTTTGCTTTTGTCCGCTTCCTCACTACTGGTATCTGCTCCCCGTTTGTCTTAAACTGCTTGCTTGGACGTTATTGTTTGCACTAAGAGAATTGCCTTTAAAAGGTGCATGAATATCATAATAAAATACGTGTAACTACATAGTAAAATAAAAAGTGCAGTACGCCCTCGTATGCCCTCCCATTTTCTTTTTCAAATTTTCTCAAAAGCTATAAGCAATGCGTCAAATTCGAAAAAAGATTTAAATGTCACTTGATGTCGTGTAATAGTCCATTTTAATCTCTTCTCCTCTTATAATAAGATTATCTATCAATATGCAGAGCTCATATTTGGGATACTATATGATATTCATCATGCACAATATTTTTCAGCTCATTTCCCTCCCTCTTGCAAAGGAGAGGTAAGGTGGATGTTTCAACATCTTGATATTAACGGAGATTCTCATTTATCCCTCAAAGAACTTTACGATTTAGAACACGATCAGAGTGAAGTGTGTTTAAAGCCTTTCCTCCAGCAATGTGACATAGATAAAGACGTAGTAGTTACTCCTTCCGAATGGTGTAGATGTTTTCAACGAACAGAAAGACCCTGCGCTGCCGTTAAACGTAAAATAACATCAGATCTATTAGGTGAACGAAGCAATTTAATTTCATAATTTTTTAGTTAAAACAAATATTTTTAGGTGTTTACGTACCAGACTGCGATAACCAAGGATATTACAAGCCAGTACAATGTCACAGTGCCATTGGTATGTGTTGGTGCGTTGACAAACATGGTGTAGAATTTGCAAACACACGTACACATGCTAAACCTAGCTGTGGTAAGTTTTTTCAATGGAAAAATTGAAATTTCCCTTAAAAATAATTATAAGGTGCCCCTTTAGATAGTTAATATTTTATTGATATACGAGGCTGGAGTGAAAAGTTTCCGGCCTGTTCTAGAAATGGCGCCAGCAGGTCTGATTTTTTGCTGGTATTCTATAACGCTATCCCTGACTAGCTTGCATACCAACTTTCAGGTCAATTACTCTGTTAGTTTGATAGCGTATGGAAGAAAACGTCTTAGTTGCTTAAGGTGGCCATATCCCTGGCCGAGAAATAGTCAATCTGGCATTTTTAGGTACTGAAATACCTGAAAAGAACCTTTCAGTACCTTTAGGTACTGAAATAGTATGAAGTAAAACGTGTAGAACAAAAGTAAGCAAAAAAATAAAAACCTTGATGTTCTGTTTATTCATTGTTACTATTTAAATTTACTCAAATAAAATAATAACTAAAAAAGAAAGCGTTTGTAAAACTTGCATAATAATAATAATAATAAT